CCAGCGGGCCCCTATTTTGCTACTCCTGGGTCGTGACATTATTGAAGTACATAAGGTTCACGCCCAGATCAATGGTCCTCACAGCGCCCCTTATGCTCAGAAATTAGACATGGGCTGGGTGATAGTGGGGAACGTATGCCTCGGGGGGACGCATAAACCGTCCACTGTTGACACCTTCTTCACCAGCACCCGAGAAGGAAGCCGCCCAACAAACTTTGAGCCTTGTCCCAACACATTCCGAGCCAAGGAAAGATACTGCCGGAAAGGATTGGGCAGCTCCGTCTTTCAACCGACCAAGGAGGACGACCGACTGGCCTACTCCATAGAGGACAGAATCTTCCTTGATATCATGGAAAAAGGTGTGAAAAGGAATAGTCACCGCAGCTGGGTAGCACCTCTTCCATTCAAGCCATACAGACTGCGACTCCCTTAATAACCGACAACAAGCAGTCAGTCGGCTCAACTCGCTAACTCGCCAATTCAGGAAGAAACCGTATTTTTTCACAGGACTGTTACTACTCCTTCCCTTTTCTTCTTTTCTCCTTCCTTTCCCTGCCAGATGCATGCCCTTCAACCTTTCAAATGTAAAACAAACTTGAACTAGAAACCTTCACACGAACTTTTTGAGATCTCACAATCTCAGGCGGGGAGTGTCACGTTTTTAACGTCAACCTTCTGTCCTTAGGGACAAATTCACTGTACACCGTTTTTGTTTGTTTACCCCTTTTACCTCTCGTCTCGCTGCGACTTCCCCTTTTTTGTTACTGTCTTTATTTTTATTTTTTTTTTATCTATTTCTCTCTCTTTCCGTGTGTTTCTAGAATAAACTAGTCTTCCTTAGCATTATTTCCTTCCTTTTTGATTACGCCTTACCGTTATCATCTACTCTCGGCAACGTGATAGCCACGAGATGTGTGTTTTCTTTTGGCGGGATCTTCAGAGTTCTTTTTGGTTCGGTACCTGCTTGCATGCACCCTTACTCGCCGCTCCGCCTTTCTTGATAACTTTGGTATGTTTTATTCCATTCTCCTTTTGTTTTTTCTTTATTCGCCTTTGTATTGAAAATGTATTGTGGTAACACTACAAGTAGTTTTTGCCTCCGTATTTCCGGACGCTCATTCAACAAGTTTGTGCTTTCGAGCCCTGAATTTTGATATTTAGAAAGAATGTAGGACCTTTCTATGTTTGACTTTGCTCTGTCGTTTAGACATACTGCTTTACCATGTCTACCATTGTTAATTGCCTCTTCCTGGCTCTCAACGCTTAGCTGCCTTTCCGAATTTGTTGCTGTCATATTTAACATAAATACGACACGTGCTTCGCTGGTCTTAGCCACCTTCGCCCCTACCGTCTGCCTTGCGGCTGCTGGTAGTAAGTTAGCTTACTTCTTTCTTTCTTTCTTTCTTCTCTTGCTTCCTCCACTGTCTCTCGTCTCTCCTTTCCTCTTTGTCCCTTTCGTCGCAGCGGACTCATGTTTTTTTTTGTTTATTTTTTCTTTCAGATTTTTTACCTGATTCACAGAATAAAATCTTTCGTTTTCCAATGAAATTCGTCCGTGTTTTGTGAATTCGAGTTTACACTGGCTGTCTAAAGCAGCGTGTTTTTTAGCATGTTGTCTAAGGCAGCACAATTGGTAGGGTCTAATGTACGTGCTATGTAAGGGACGCGCAGAACAATAACATGTTAGGTGTCCCGGTGTGGCATAAAGGTTAGAGAGACTATTTTAACCTTTACAAATAAATACTGAGTTTGATCCTCACTAAGTGCCCCAAACATAAAATCAATATTAAATAACCCAACAATTCTTGACATATTAAAACAACCAACCATCTTTATATTAATATTTGTGTTAGTTTCAATCAGAAGGCAATGAATATTTATTGTAATTTTTAATTACAACTGTGGCACGACGCCGAAGGAGAAGTGTAGTGAAGCTGGTCCGCACGAGCTATCCTAACCTAGCTAATCAGATGCACAACGCATTCCTTCATTACAATTGATTCTGTTATGGGGTCCACCCCTTTTTCATACAAATGGACTCGACCAGTATGTACTTGGACTGCTGCCGTTAAATACCCAGGGTAGTCAGATAGAGAGCAGTGATTGTGATTGAGTTGGAGGTAGAGTAATAGTGTGAGGTAACCACTTGTAGAAGTCACAGTTAACAAGCACGTAGACTCTAAGGAAGTCCTACTTCGAGACTATATATATATATATATATATATATTATTATTATTATTATTATTATTATTGCTACTAACCGCGTTCCTGGATTTACTAAGAGTATTATCCATTGTATTATTGTGTAAATACATTTAATTTCTTATATTTAATTCCTGCGTTTGTTATTCATTGGAGACCGAATTTCATCTCGGAATCCACAACAGATTCATTCCCTATAAGAACTCATCCATCATCATTCAATCTACCACATGCCACAATATCGCATATTCACAGGGGGGGGGGGTCACACTAAAACACCCATAGTATAAAAATTTCATCATATGTAGAAATGTCTCTTTTTTTTTTTTTTTTCTTTTATCCTTTTTTCCTACAAAAATAATTAAAATATGTAATCACTATCTTAAAAGCCGTCCTATCGAGCAGCATTTAAGGTAGCTCCTGCGGAAGGTTCTTGATTGGGACTTCATCGCAATAGGTAGGGAGGAGTAGATGCGATAAGCAACAAGAAATTACTGAAGAACTCAAAATTGATCGCTGCATTAATATTTAACCTTACCTTTTAAAAGTTCAACGATAATTCTTCTGCCGCCACTGAGCTTAAAGACAATTTGATATACGTAGGTCCTTACTTTCCGTACAAGCAGTTATTTTTATTCCATGGGTGATTTGCGATGGATTTCGAAATTAATTTCAATTATTCCCAAATTTATTTCCAATTGTTCCCAATTTTATTTCCAATTGTTATCGTACAAAAAAATTAGTCGCAAAAAATCACGTAAAAAAAAAATAAATAAATAAATCGGCGAAAATAGTCACAATAACGAAACTAGTGAATCCAAAATTTAAAGGATTGCGAGTCCGGATCCGACCCAGAATATTTTTAATTTGCTCACAGAGTCGGTCTGATTCCAAAATGGTATGACGGCCTCTAGGAGTAAAGTTGAAAAAGTGTGATACACTGACACACTGACATTCGCATTTATTATATCGATGAAATGAAGGGGAGGGGATGAACCGCAAAACGAAAATAAAATATGCTAGTAGGACCCGTCCACCCTACAAAAAAATAAGAGCGGTCGCTGTGTTCTGCTAATCAAGCAGAATCAACAATATCGCTCACCAAAAGAAAGAAAATAAATTGTAAAGTGAGAAAAATCAAAAGCTGACGCAGTCAGGATGAACAAGTGGATAAAAAGAAGCTGGGGAGGTTGGTAATCTTGACGTGGATCATAGAAAAACGAGAATGCCGGGAGTAGGCCGGGAACAACAATTACTCACATTAACTATGTAAACAAAGGGTAAGGGAGTTAATCACAAAAAACACCTTTCTTCCCAAATTTACAGACAAATGCTACAGATGCATGCTGGGATTTCTTACTAACCAATAAAAATGAACCATTTCTTGATCTCGTTCGCCATATTTTTTGTTTTGGTTCTTTCTTATATTGAAGTCAGAATTCTGTAATCACTTGACTGTATCCCTTTCGTATATTAACACAGTCTTATTTTATAAACCTTTTGCCTTATTGCTGTTGAGTTGCCTACTTTTGTTTTGCATATATTCTGTTTGCCGGGGCATCTCGAGGCGGTGTAATGGTTAGCAAGCTTGTCTCGTTAGAACAATTACGACTGAATAGTGAGTTCGATCCTCACTGGGTGCACCCATACTTTCGGCCTTGTGCCACACCTAAGCAACGCTTAAAAATCATAGTTAATGATTACATTTTTCAATAAAGTTAGAGTTTTAAATCTTTTTTAAGTTAAACCTTTGAATGATAATGAATCAATCAACATTTTTTCTAGCGTCCAAAAGTGAAAAAAAAGAAGTGAATTTCTTGGTTTTAAGTAACGTGCAAAAGGGTTGATAAACCGTAAAAAGATGTGAGCGAATATCGAGATATCTCGCGAGAAATAACGTTATCTTGGTCATTCTCCCCTACTCAGTTTGTTACAAGATAAATTGATGAAGACAAAGATAAAGATACTCTTTTCGTTGTGGCTTTTCATCCGCGAGAAGTCCTGATTAAGACTGACAAGAAAAAGAAAACGGAACACTATTTACTGAGGAAGACCTGACCAGAGAACAAAAGAAAATCACCCCACCAATTTACGTCCAGTAAAAACTTATATTACTAACGTTTTAAAACTATTACGGGCTTACGGCCACATCACTATACCGGTTACCCTACGATCCACCAAAGTTAAACAACATCCAGCCAGGTCAGTACCTAGATGGGTGACCACTGGAGAATACCAAGTGCGGTAAGCTTGCAGATGGGTGTGGTGTAATGGATAACGGCTTGGAATTGGAAATCGCAGAGCAAGTTCGTTATATTCGTATATGCTCAAATACGCTATAATTTCCCCTCTTATCCCCCGGCTATGGGTTAAATAGTAAAATTGGTATCATTATCTCCAAAAAACAAATTTGTTGGTTATTTCAAGCCGAAATATTTAACTTTGAAAGGATAATTATTTTTTTGCAAGTGAATATTGCATGAACAATTTTTTGAGAGTAATAATGATTTTTACAGATACAAGTCCTACTATTTCCAAAATGTGGAACTCTCTTCCGGTTTCTTGCTTTCCGAGTCAACTTTGATCTTTGAAATGCGATGTCAATCGTTATCTTCTGTCTTCTTAATACTTGTTCTTTTATTGTCCTTTCTCCTTGATAGTAGTTTTTCTCATATTCTCTAAGTAACTTCTTGCATCCTAGTGACTTTATTACCTTGCTTGGGGTGAAAATGATTAAAAAAAATATAAACGTACGAACAGGTTAAGATAAAGAAAATGTAATTCGAATTAAAACTTACCAACAGCAAACAGAGAAGAAAAACCATTTCCAATCGGTACATGTTGCTTTGTCGACGAACAACCGAACCGCGAGATCTTTCTGACGACAAATAACAGTCCCGTCCAAGAGGCAGTTTGACAATGCGTGACAGTACGCATTTTTATACATATATATATATGATAGAATGTTTTTGTTTTAGAGTGGTTGCCGTGTGGGATTGTGGCTTCTAAGTGGTTTCCGGAAAATGGTGACGTTGAACTAGACTTCAAGAAATGTAAGTCGATGTCCGGATAATTGCTTGCTCCCCACTCCTTTTAGCCAGACTGATGACGTCATCGAAATCGTTTTGAAAAACGCGTGTCGGACCATATGCCACAGGGGAACGGCAAACGCATGTTGCTGCCATCTGGTTTTTAGTTGGCGCAATACGAATTGACTTAATGGATTTGATGTTCGTTCAATGACATGAATAGGTTAGAACATTGAAACGAACGGAAGTTAAATCGATGGAGATAATATTCAACGTAATTTTCCGTAGCCAGTGGAACAAACAAGAAACACACACACACACACACACACACACACACACACACACACATATATATATATATGTTAAGACATTTTTTATGTTTATACGTTCTTTTTATAGATACAAATATTTTAAAAAACTGCTCTGTCGAAGGACGTATATTTTCTATGAAAATTCCTCGGACATTCAGGCCGGTAAATGTTGTTTATTATAATGTTGTTTATTATAAACAGAATATTTACTTAAATAATTGTCGGACTTTGTCCATTTCATAATTTGGAAACGTGAATTATGATTTTTGCTGTGTTTTTAAAACCCAGTAATTTTTAAAGTTACTCAAAAATTCGCTTGAGGCTGAAATAGAACTAATGTCTTTAATTTAATTACAAAATTAAATTCGGAGCTTTCAGCTTCCATTTTTGAAACATGGTTAGAACTGTGTAGCGAATAAAACATTTTAAATCAATTAATTTATTATATATACATATATATATATATATATATATATATATATATATATATATATATATATATATATGCAGGGTGAGATGGGTAAATTGTCGCTATTTTATATTTTTCATTTCGCGCATGCGCGTTGTTTGTTTTTTGATTTTGTCGACTGCACATTATAGTAGGATCAGTTGGGTACGGTCAGTGAGAAAAAGAGCATCTTGTCGATATTCACTTTGCCAGAAATTTGGAAACAACATACTGTACTGCTTGGCATTCGCGCCAGAAACTCCAATACGAACATTTCAGAGTGTTTGGATGTCAATGAGAGGATGATGCAGAGGACTCAGAAAGAGTTGGCTGAATCTAATGGTGATTACGAAGGTACGGCAGCTCGGAAAACTCACCCTACTCGTTCTAATAAGAAAAGAACTCCCGAATTTGAGGGTGAGGGACTCAGACTCAACACAGAGCCCTACATCAAGTGCCTTGAGGAGGTAGTGTTGTCATGGGTCAAGAGGATGGCTGTTGGAAGACCTTATGCCTGGAAACATGTCTGAGTGAGAGACCAGCAAAACTCCTTGTAACACCAAAGGTGAGCTGAAGTCAATGATTATGGCAGCATTCATCAACTTAAACAAGGAGACCAGAAGAGTCGCAGGAGATTCCGAAGTTGTCCGGAGGCCGTGGTTGAAGCCAATGACGATTTTATTGAATAAATTTACTCTTTAGTATTTCGAAATATTTTTGTGTAATTTTGGTAAAAATATCAGCTAAAGTGAGATATTTTTCATTTTTGCGTCATTTAGAGGACAATTTATCCATACATACATATAAGTACAGGTAATCGATCCATTGGTATATAATCCGGGTGGATCCTAGTAATATTATTAAAACTGATCCACAGAGAACTCTATGTTTTTATTATAACAGAGTATATGTATTTTTTACAGTAAAAACCAAAAATTACCTTAACATAGGTATAGTCAATTTCAAACCGCTCTTCACACGGCTATCTTCAGCCTCTAAGTGCTTGTCTCGGAGCATTGTTCTAAATTTATTTTCAAACGTCAGTCTTCCTCTAGTCGGCACCTTGTTAATGAGAATGGGTTTGTGTTAGCGATTGGTGGAGGCGTAAGGTATCTTATCCCGGGGGAAGCGGTCTAGGTTTGGAGTTTATTTATGGCGAGGATTTTTGTTTGTAGTTTAATATAAATATGTAAGATAGATTCTTTCTAAAAAAAATATGTAGCACGACACGGTGACATTTGTAGCAACAAATCTAGCAATTGATTTAAAATAATCTTTCCCCTTCATGTAATTGGAAAACGTTAGTCCAAGAAAGCGTAATAAAGTATCTCTCTCCTGAAGGTCAGCATCAGCCATACTGATGAAGGGCTAAAATGGTTCTCTAAGATCATTGAAAGAAAAGAGTTTCGTATTGGAGAAGTTAAAATAAACAAGGCTTTTCTTGCCCCAGTTAACAACGGATTGAAGAATATATATATATATATATATATAAATACAAAACATCTTATTAGCTGCTAGTGCTGAAATGCTTCAAATTCAAGCATGCTTTTTGCTTCTTTGTGCATGTCAGTGCGTATTTGCATCAGCTTCCAAGCTGATGCTAACCTCCAAGAGAGTGACATGTTGCGCCTTCTAGGGCTAACAATCTCAGCTGACATGAAGTGGAAAGACTATATTGAGTCCTTTGCGAGGTCAGCTGCTAAGAAAGTTGGTTCACTGTGTCGTACGAGACAATTTTTCTCTCCAGAATCTATCTTGCATATCTATAAGTCTACCATGCTTGGAATATTACTGCCTTTTGGAGCCTTTTTCATCATGATATGCTCCTTTTTTTTTTTTTTAGCGAATTATTGTTTTTAATTTTTCTCTTTTTTTCCTTTTTCTTTCAGTTTCACAAATTTTGACTTTCAGTTTTCCAGACCCATAATGTCTTTGTTAATTCTTGAGCGTTCTCGTGTTTTGTTGAGTTGGGAAATTTGCATTTCATTTTTACATATTTTTTAATGCTTAAACAATGAGGTAAATATTTCTATATGTCTTCACTTGGCCATTATTTCTTATCTGATTTGGGGGCATCTTAAGTATTAGGGTATTAATTCTCGAATTGACCAAGAAGGAATTCACACACACACACACACACACACACACACACACACACACACACACACACACACACACACACACACACACACACACCACGTGATTTTTTGTTCATTACATGGTCACATTTTTAGAAGTGGGTCGAGTGATGAATTTTTCAGCACCAGCCTGTCGTAGCATTTCAGAAAGATGGAGAAAAAACAAACTTTTCTGCAACGTAACCTTTTCATCAAGTGAGGAAAGTTATCCATAATTAGCATCACTCGATTTCCTTGCAGGCCAGGCCGTGAGAATTTAATTCAAACAGCTCTTGCAATGTTCACTTAATATTTAACAGGCGAAGGTTGTCAGACATATATATATATATATATATATATATATTTAAAATATATTCTTCATATATATATATGTGTATATATATATATATATGAAGAAATATAGTTTTAAGGTATGCTATATTTATGGGATAAAGTGCTCAATATCAGAGATCGAGCGTATGTAAATATAAAAGTAATGATTGCGTTTAGCATGAAACAGTCTGTCGCCTCTGAGTGTTGACTTCAATGTTCACTTATATATATATATATATATGTGTGTGTGTGTGTGTGTGTTTCTTTCAAGACGATAGACAAGGTATTACGAATAAGCTTTTTTCTGATTTCTTGTCTGGACATAAAGTGTGTAAAAACTGTACAAAAGATCTGCATTTCCGAGCATTTTTAGCCATTATCAAGGACGATTTTTATTTTCTGATTTTAACGGTATGTTTTTTTTTAAATTTTTTTTATGTATATATCTATAGTTATAGGAATATTTGATTTTCCAAACACGGCCAGTACATTATGGCCGTGTTCATAGTCAATGTTATTAAATGATCTTAGGCATTTGTTTTTACAAAACTGATCAGTGGAAAATGTTATGAAGACATTTCTGACCTTACGTCTCTGTTTGGGACCCAGAAGGAAATGTGTATACAACAGAAATTCAAGGAGATAATAATAATAATAATAATAACAATGATGAAAAAAATGTCAATTTGCAAATGATGTAAAATTAATCTGTGATGATTTGTTTTTTACAATTAATATTCACTCTGCAAAAAGCCCAAGAGCCACTCGAGGTAGAGGGTTACATAAGGAAAAGGCTTTAGAAGGGACCAGAAACCCAATCCTAAACAGGTAACAAGAAATAAATCTCTACTCCTGTTCAAACTAACCTATCAACTCCTATTGATAAAAATAAAAAAGTAATTTAATAGCAAATAAAAGTTTTAGGCTAAAACATTAGAAGTATAGAGTTGAATTAGACTTTAAAAGGAACCGGAAACCCAATCCTAGACAGGAAACAAGGGACAAACGTCTACTTCTATTCAAAAGTCCGAAGAGAAGTGTGAACCGGACGATAGGTGAACATATCTATCTACTCTTATTGAAGAAAAAAATAAATAAATAAAATTTCAGGGCAGAAATGTTAGGCGTATAAAGTTGAAGTAGACTTTAGAAGGAAATCAATTTTAATCAGGAAACAAAGGATAAAATTTAAAAAAAATCATTAAATAAATACGTGGGTTATGACAGATTTCCTTTCCTACGATGCGTCGTAACACGATTTTCCGTATATGTCGGGGCTTAGCCGTAATTTCCCCTCCATGGCTTCCCTTTCTCTTTTCGAAGCTTCGTCATTAGAAGAAGTTACATTACTCTTGGGAGCCATAGGGAAGGGCAATATGTTTCCGCAAGCACAACACAAATGACAGAGAGTGGATGCACAACAATATGGCGTGCAAGCAGGAACTCATCTACGTCGCCTTAGGGAGGAAACAAAAGTCGGAACAAGATTGATGGAGGTTTCGTCGTAACCACGACGAATTGTCGTAGGTTGGGACTATCGTAACCCAAAGACTTACTGTATACAATAAATTAAACATCTATACAAATCCGTATACAGTGATATCTCGGCTTAAGTCGTTTTCAGTTAAGTCATTTTTGAAGATACGCCGGTTTTTCTTATAGATTATATGAAAAAAATAAAACTCGCATTAAGTCGCTTTACTCGTGTTTACGTAGGCCGTTAAAAACGTAGAAACGCTAAAATGACAATAAACACATATGACATCATAAATTTAGAAATAATATAATGCATCCTATATATATATATATATATATCATCAAAGACAAAAAATAACATAATAAAGTATGTTCAACAGATTTTCTTATTTCAAATTACTACCGACAGGTGGCACTCGCGAGTTGTTTTTCGCTCCAACACCAATTTTGAACTTAGACTTGTTTACATCTGTTCTCTGCCATTGACGTTCTTTCAATTAC